AACATACTTGGTAATAAAGCTCTTCTGATTCTGATTCTGATATTATATTATATTCCAAAGTGATACTGGTTATAATGGTGCTTCTTCCCCGCATGTGTTTCTAGCGTCAAATGTGTCAAATTTTCAGCACAGAATTTATGACTTTTCGCCTCTTTATTCTACATTAATTCCTTTTATTCTATTTCTCTCTCTCTATCTCTCAGTTCTACTATCCGCAGTGCCTTCCTCCTGTTATTATTAAGTACATGTGTTTGGTTGTTTGGTCTTATGGCTGTTAATAACAGTATCCTGGCGTTCCACTACCTGTTCATTGTCCTCTGTTGCGTACAGGTAAGTGTGCACTGGCTCTTACTCATCTCTTTCTTTTGTGTGTGTTTGTCATTGTCATTTTTGCATTTTTTTACCCTGTACACTTTGATAGTTGTGTTCTACATAATGTAATGTTATTCTCCTACTCACGTGTCTCAGGGATTGGCTGTACTGTTGGTTTTTACTATCCTGAACTCTGAGGTGCAGGAGGCCTGGAAACTGGCCTGTCTGGGCAAGAAAAGCCCCAGTGAAGAAGCTCCCAGACCTCCACAGATCACAGTTAGTCAACACAAACATACATATTATCATATGACCCCCGACACATGCACAGTTTTACACACACATCTTTAACACAAACCCATATTTGACCTCACGGAGTGAAAATGAGCATGTGGATTTGTAACCTGCTGTATGTGTGCAGGGCCAAAATCCATACAACAGCGCCTCCCTGCTGGAGCAGAGCGGATTACACCGGATCACACTCGGAGCTTCAACCATCTCATCAGTCAGCAGTGCCAGGTCTGTCAACACATCAATTTCAGATTCACAATTCTTAAAATGATGTTGTATACCTAAAAATAAGCACATTTGAAAATAAATAAGGTGTAATATGTATAGGAAAAATATTGGTGATATTTTAAAATAAGGTGTGATGAACTAACAATGAAAAACTTTTTTTTTTACTATGCTATGTTATTATAAATATATATTAATTGTTAATAAATGTTATAAATATGTTCATTGTTAATTCATAAAAAATGGTGTCATTTAAATTTATGTAAAGTTTTATAGCTGTATTATACTATTATACTATTCACTCAAATTCTTATGCTTATAATATACACTACTGTTTGGGGTTAGTGAGATTTGTTTATTTATTTATTTTAATTAATTATTTTATTCATTTATGCACTTTTATTATTTTATGCATTTAAATTGATCAAAAGTGTCAGTAGACTTTCGCAAGAAATCTGTTTCAAATAAATGATGTTCCACCTAAATAAATGTTTTTGATCGCCAAATCAGCATATTAGAATGACTTTGAAAGATCATGTGACACTGAAGACTGGAGCAATGGCTGCTGACAATTTAGCGTTGCCATCCCAAGAAAAAAAATACATTTGAAAATATATTCAAATAGAAAACCGTTATATAAATTGTAATAATATTTTACAATATTACTGTATTTACCATATTTTTGACAAAATAAATGCAGCCTTTATGACTTGATAACAGTTCTTCCAATAACATAATAAAATAAATAAATAACTAGAGACCACATACTTTTGAGCAGTGTATTTTGTAATAAAACAAATGCAAAATAAAAGATAAACAACTTTAGATTGTATATCACGTTCTTATTTTAATATTGTACATTATACATCATTTGTAAGCTGAACTGTGAAAACATGTACACATTTGTAGGCATTTTTGTTGACAACCTACTGTATGTAGTATCCATATGTAGCAAACTGAAAGCCTGAAAGTTGGCGTATGTTTTTCTCAGGGAGAATCTCTTGGCACGGCAGACTCTAGAACACACTCTTGGTCACACAGGGGCCACTGACCTGGACGTGGCAATGTTTCACCGCAACGGAGGTACACTAACACACAATAACCTGCATGCATGTACGTATTCACACTTACACACACTCCTTAACTGCTTGCTGGTCATTCTTTACTGGCCAAATTCTAGTGTTTGTGACCGTCATGTCAGAATTAGTGTCATTTAGTTGATCTATTCTTCGGTTTGTCTGTCAGGTGAGGACTCAGACTCAGATTCTGATCTCTCACTGGAAGAGGAGCGGAGTTTGTCCATCCCATCATCAGAGAGCGAGGACAATGTGCGGCTGCGTGGACGCATCCAGCGGCGTTTCAAACGGTCTGGTCACGGCAAACGTTTACTCACAGAGCCCACACACAATGGTGGAAAAGGTACCAAAACTATTGTTGCAGTTGTCTATGTCACTGTTATTGAAGCCAGAGGAGTACAGAAAGTTAGTTTCATTCTTAGTTTTGTGATACCCAACTGTTAGTGTATGGAATTGTTTATGTGTCAGAGCTGGATGGCAATGACCTGCTCTCCTATTGGCCAGCGCTGGAAGGCTGCGAGGCACACTCACTTCAGAAATGGGGCTCAGAGCGCCGCCTAGGGGGCGACTACAACAAGGACGCAGCTAATAACAACCAGCCAGATGCAGCGCTGACCAGCGGAGATGAGAACGGACTCACACACAGACACCGCAAGGGTGAGGCACACATTAATTCAAAATGTTATCCAATATTGGCCAATAACAATACATTATGATATTTAATTGTGCATGTTTATTCCTTCTGTTTTTGCATTTAGATGCTGTCATCTAATGCTCACATAGAGTTAATCTTCAAAAACAAATTAAACAATGCTACACTATACTGGCTATTGGCTGATATCTGGGTTATTATTATTATAATTAACTAAAACTAAATTCATAGCAAGTGATGAAAAAATAAATTACATAAAAATGAACTGAAATAAAATATTTAAAAACATTAAACTTATTTTTCAGCTAGTTTCCTACGCAACATTGATTATTTTCATTAGTTTAACTTGATGTATTAAAATGAATAAAACTGCAATAAATATTAATAAAACTATGCTGATATGTTTATATATATATATATATACAGTGGGGGAAAAAAGTATTTAGT